TGGTGGGATGGCCAGAGCTGAAGTGGGCAGAAACCAGGACAATCCCGGCTCTCCACACAGAGGGCACACTGGCAGGACAGCTGTAGCTGAAGTAGGTACAAGCTGTCCCTAGGCTCTCCGTGCAGATGGTGCCCTGGTGGGCAGCTGGAGTAAGATACGGTGTATGTTGGGGGTCCCTGGGTGCTTCATGCAGGGGTGTCCTGATAGGACAGCTAAAGCTGAAGTGGGTGGAGGCAAGGTTATCCTGGGGTGCCCAGAGGGGTGGGCACCCTGGTGGGATGACTGAAGCTGAGGATGGCTCTTGCTGGGGTGTCCTGGGGCTGTATGTGTAGGCAGCACCCTGAAGGGTGGCTGGAACAAAGGCAGGGTACTGGCCAGGAGTCTTAGGCTGCTCTACTCACAGGGTGCCCAGGGGTGGGGGGCACAGCTGGAACGGAGGCAGGCATGGGCCAGAGCATCGTGGCACTTAGCACAGGGACTGTATCAGGCGGGGGGCGGGGCAGCTGGAGACAAAGTGGACATGAGCCAGGAGGTCGCAGAGGGCTGTGGGCTGGGGCTGCTCTAGGAAGCCACCTGGGGCCAAAGTGGGACAGGTCTGGAGTGTTCCAGTGGGCTTTGTGCCTGTGTCCCCTTGACGTGGAGGCTGCAGCCATCCTGAGTGCCAACCCCAGGGTGCTCCGGGGTGCACCGTGCTCGCGCTGCCTTTGTGGGACAGCTCGGGCTGGTATGGGCTAAGGCCTGGGGCTTGCTCCTGTCTCGGTATCAAAGTGGAGGGCAAATAACAACTGTGGTCACCGGCCCCTCCCCCTGGAGAGCGTTCCAACAGCTCTCCGCCTTTCTGTGGAGGCTGGATTTCTGTAACTAGTTGCTCTTTTAAATTGCAGCTTTTTTGTGTGTCCCAGGGTAGATAAATCTCCTGATCCCCCAGTACCGTCTGTCCCCACTGCTGTTGGCAGTGTCGGGGGTGGGGTTCCCTCATTACCGTGGCTCTGGCTCTCTTGCTGTTCTTTGTGTGGTCTCCCTAGTTTTGTTGTGCAGAACCGTTCAGCCAGCCCTCAGTTTTTTGTTTCTTTGTTTTGTTTTGTTCTAAGCTGGCTCCACACCCAGCATGGGGCTCAACATGGAGCCCAATGTGGGCCTTGAACTCATGACCCCGAGATCAATACCCAAGCTGAGATCAGTAGGTAGAGGCTTAACAGACAGAGGACACCCCCCCGCCCCACCCGGTGCTCCAGCCCTCACGTTTTCATCCGGAGTAATTGCTCTGTAATTGGTGTAGATTTGGTGTGTCCCGCAGGAGGGGAATTCAGGGTCTTCCTGCCATCGCCATTTTAGACCCTCAGTGCGAGGAGCCCCTTTTAACACAGAACTGCTCCCACATTGCACACAGGGCTGCTCCACACACATGCCCCCCCCGCCCCCGCCCAGCTCTCAGATGGTGTGAACTCTCTGGGTGTGTGAACATGCTCGTCACACTCCCCCTGCTCCTGCTGTGTGGGGAGGTATATAGCCAAGTCACAGGAAAATAGGCCCAAAACCCCACTTTCTATAACACACAGATGTTGTTCACAGTGTACAGAAGTCACATGTCGATAAAATTTATTTAAAAACAGGTCCCTCTCTTCCTCATGGCAACCCGCCTTTCCTAGTATTCTTTTCCTGGAACCGTCTCCAGGCCTCGGCGGAAGCACGCTCCCTACCCGCCGTCTTCCCATCTGTGTCTTCGTCATACCGTGATCGCGGTGAACGAGCGACTTCTGACCACAGAACCTTTCCAGATAAGTAGAGGCAAGTCGATGTGTTTTGTGACCCTCGATGGGGCAGATAAAGGGCATTGAGGGGACAACTGACAAACTCGGGAGAAGGTCTCAGGGTGAGATTACAATATTGTGTCAATATTAATTTCTTGATTTTGGTCATTGTAGTCCTGTGTCCTGTTTTGAGGAAATCACACTGAAGTCTTTAGTGACGAAGAGGCATTGTGTCTGTGACTTTCCCACAGATATTTCAGGCAGAAGGGGTGTGTGTGTGTGTGTGTGTGTGTGCTTGTGTGTCTCACACATTTGGAGGGAGAGGGGATGGGTGATACGCGTGGTCATAAATTATCAACACGGGGGCATTCTCGAAAGGCAGAGAGGAACTCCTGTGCCATTTCCCCCACATTTTTGCAAGTCTTAAATTATTTCAAAATAAGCTGAAAAAGAACCAGCGCGGCAGGTGGGAGACCTAGCTGGGAGGAGAGCTCTGAACTTGGAGTACTTCTGGTTTCCTTGAAATTAGTCGGTTCCAAACCCAGTTCCCAGTTGCTGGGTTTCTAGGGGGCCCTCAGTCTCCTTAGAAACCTTCGTCTCTAAGGAGACCGTGGTTCCCTCTTCTTCAAGCCGGAGTCCCTGCGTTGTCCCTCACTCGGCTGAGCCGTCACTGGGTACTGCTCTCCTGGCTGAGCCCCACTGGTTACCTGGAGGCTCAGGGCTGTCCTTCCCCAGCATCCATCCCCCGCATCCCGGTGGCGAAGCCGGCTTTCCTCAGGGATACCTCCCTGGCTCCCCTTTGCTCCCTCCTGGAAGAGGCAAATACTGGGCTTACCCACTGCGCCGTGCAGCGGTCAGGATAGCGTCGGTTACGCTGCAGGAACACGCAAGGAAAGAGGATGTCTCGCTCGAGCTCCGTATGCAGGTGGTGTGGCGGGGCGTCTCTGCTCATCGTAGTCGCTCAGGAAGGTGGGACTCTCACCGGGCTGCCCCTCCACAGGCGAGCTGAATGTAATCGTTGCACGTAGGGGGTGCTGCCGGCTCTTGGTCTCGGGGTCATGCGTTCGAGCCCCACTCTGGGGGTAGAGATTACTTTAAAAATAAGTGTTAAAAAAGTCATAGTTAGGAGAGCAGCACGAGAGGCAGGCACCCCAGAAGCAAGGATTCTGCCTGCAGGGGGAAGAGTGAGGAAGACAGGCTGGCCAGCAATCACCAGGGCTTTTCCTCCTGGGAGAGCCCTTCCTGCCCTCGAGCTCCTCTGTGCTCTTGCTGGGACCGGCACAGGCTGCCGTCACCTGCCCTCACGTTCTTCGGCTGTTACTTTCTTGGGCTGTTCTGTGTTCCAGTGATGGACGGGTGTATGGGCAGCATGTCTGCGGGCTGCCCGTGCCACTGCACTGGGTTCTGGGATATCGGGAGCGTTAAGACACTGGCTCGTTACAAAGACAGGGAAGGAAACAGATCCTTTCAATGCTGAGGGAAGAGCCAAGCCCAGGGGGGTGGAGAGACCATCTGATCCTATTTGGGAGAAAGAGGGTAGCGGAGGCAGGCGGAGAAGCGTGAGGAAGCCAGCCCCGAGGCTCGGGGCACACACCGTCCAGCTTCTCTGGGCTGCGTGCGCTCTCTGGCTTGGACTGGGCAGGGGATGCCAGATGTGCTCGCGGGCAGGATTCGAAGTCGTGGCTGGAAGGCCATCAGTGTGTCCTCTTTCTGCCAACAGTGTTAGGCATCTGTCACAATAATAGGGCTGGTGTTGCTTACATTTGGGTAATACTTTATAACTGATAAACCAGATGCCTTGAAAGTCTTTGGCTCCTTTTACAAATGAGGATGTGGAGATAGGGAACTGCTGAGGTCCTTACAAGTCCCAAATGCACTAGAACTCGGGCTCCTTATTCCCGGTCCAGGGCGCTTCCCACCCACCCATGCTGCCAAGACCCGTCTGAGATTCTGCGACTGGGACCCTCTCCCTGCCGAGGATCCCGCAGTCCAGGGGGAAGAGTTAATAGCCACTCTTGACGGAGAGGGACGCAAAGTCATGCTGGTTTCATCAGGGCCCTCGGTGTTGCCCCAAGTCAAGTAAATCTCTAAGATCTCCCCTTTCTCCAGCTTCCTGTTGGATTGTTAATGAGGATGAATAACACAAGATATAAGCACCTTTTCGGCAAGCAGGGCACAGCGGCCAGTGAACAGCCGGCTCCGCGTGACGTCATTGCCCGGAGATGTGCCCGGCCAGGATGGGGGAGCAGAGGAGAGGCCGGATTTCCTTGTCTCTGCAACCTGTAGCCAAGGGATGGGGTGTTGGATCTCTGTGGCCAACACAGGGGCACGTTGAGGATGTGCGCCAACCATATCATTTTCATTTGCTAAGGTCTGGCAAGATTTCTGGCCCCGTGCTAGTCTTACATTGACTAAATGAGATAATGTGTGTGCACCTCTTGGCTCACAGGAAGTGGGCAATAAATGGTAACTGACAGAATAGTAATAATGGCCGCAGTAATCTTAAGTACTGTAATAATGGAGCAAGAGTGTTAGAGCAATAGTTAATGAAGGATAATAATGACAAATATAATAGTAAAGCAATAATCGACTTGGGCAGGGGTTGCAGTGGGAGTGGCTCTCCAAATGGGAAGGAGTTTTATCAGCGATGTCTGATGACAAATAAGCAGACAGTATGGGAACTCTCTGAACTTTCTTAGTTTGGCTGTGAACCTAAAACTGATCTAAGAAATAAAGTCTACTGAGTTATATTTAAGAAAAAAAAAAAAAAGAGGGAAGTGTTAAAGTGAGCCGACCGACCCAGCTAGCTGGTGATGTCAGTGTTTGTCTGTTCTCCGCAGCCCAGGCCCTCTCTCACAGCCGCCTCACCTGCCACCCCACCCGAGACGCCGGCACAATGAGAACAGTTCAGACTGCTCTGCCTGAATGCAGATGTTCAAATGACAGCGAGGATCCCTGGCTCTTGGGTTTCTCTGTTCACCAGTGGGTGCCAAATGCCAGTGGCACTGGCCCCTGGAGGCTGATAGGACCAAAAGCCATAGGTCCAGGCCTCTCTGTGGCTCTCCCTGAGTGAAGCAGCCACATCGTCTACACGGGTGGGAGCTGCCACTGCATGGCTTGCGTGTGAGTGGAGACTGTCCCTAATCCATAGCCCTAAGCCACTTCCCTTGGGGAAGTCTTGTCCCCATGTCACCAACGGGGTGGCTTCCTTTCCTTCGGCCAATGACAGGTTCTCTTTCCTTCATGCAGGAAAATGCCCAGCTAATCAAAGAAGTGGAAGTGGACAAGGTCTGCGCCCTGTCCGGGGACCAGGTGGAGGCCATCAAGCAGCTCTGGGAGGACCCAGGAATCCAGGAGTGTTACGACAGGAGAAGGGAGTACCAGCTGTCAGACTCGGCCAAATAGTGAGTGCAGAGCCCAGGCACATGTTGTCCCTGTTTCAAAGAAGCCTCTCACTGGGGAGAAAGGAGCGGCCTGTAAAATGTGGGCGCGCGGCAACACTACCCCTACCTCCTGCTTGTCACTATCCCCCTCTGACTTTGGTGTGTGTCTTACCGCTTCCTAAAAGCTGTGGACCCCCAGATCTCTGTCCTTGTCCATACCCACCTTTCTTCGCTGTGTTCTAAGCCTCTCTTATTCAATGAGAAGCTCAGTCAAATGTGAGGTTCTTTGGAGGGAGCTCATCTCATCTGGGGTGCTGAAATCTTGTGACTTGAGTAAAGACTACCACTGCCTCCGGCTTCTCCTTTCCTCCTCACCATAGCCCTCTGCCTTCTGGTTTCCTGATCAGTAGACAGCAGGAACGGTTGCCCTCAAATCTGAAATCAATAGGCCTGCTCCAGGTCTGATCTGGTGCTGCCCTCTGGTGGGTACGACAGGTTTTGCAGGCCCAGCACAGGGAGGATGTTCAGTCCACAAGCCTTTTGCTTAATGACCCCCTGGGATGACCTCCGCACTATAGTTTTGATTCATAAAGCTCTGGTTTTAAATCATTAATCCCTAAAGTAAGAGGAAATAGATGGTCCTGCATGCAAATTATCGCAAGGTGACCACAGAATTTCCTTTGAGAACTTCGGGAGGCAGTGCCTCTGTCTGCTAAGTCCCTGGACAAATAGATTGGTCACGTTCCTGCCTGAAGAGACGGTTCTTCCTGCTTCTGGAGCTCAGCTCTTTCCCTTTTGCCCCGCGTTGTCTCCCAGCCTCTGAAGGCCTCAGAATCCCTTCCCCTTCCCTTCGGGGGTTGTTGCCCTCCAAGCTGGTGTGGGGGGGACAGTTCACCCCGATCGTCTGGACAAGGCAGCCGGCAGGAGAGGAAACCTGCAGTCTCACCTCTGGTGTCCGTGGCCTCCCTTTGGTGCTAGTGCCAGGCTGAGTGTTTCAGGCTACTACCCCAGGCTGGCACAACCAATCTGACTACAGGGACATTTAGGTGTGGTAGAGCAGCCAAGGAGGAAAAGGAAATAAAAGAAGCCCCGAGAAGGTCTGGGATCAGCTCAGGAAAGAGCCAGAAGGCAGGTAGGCAGTGTCCCAGGGAGGAGGGTGGACAGCTGTGGAGGGGGCGACAACTCCACGTCTGTGAGGGCATCTCTGGCCCTTCCCTGATGCCACCCAGTGTCCTTTGCTTCTGTGAATGTTCTGGGGAGTGGCCGGGGCTCTGGACGTAGAGCCACTGGGAAGAGCCCCCTGGAGGCTCTGGAGCTGCTCAGAGCGCGGTAGAGTGCTGAGAACTGGGGCTTGTGCACTGAGAGGAATGTAGGAAATGGTTCGGGGGGACCGTGCTGCCCCAGAGAGAGTTGTGCTCATACGCCAGCAGCTGCCCCAGCTGGGGAGCTGCCGCACTGACTCAGTCCAACTGTGCCAGAGCGGTCTACTTATTGGGAAAGGCATTCAGTTCAGAAGAATTCAATGTGTGCTGCTGTGGGCCAACCTGTGTTCTCTGTCCTCCAGCAACAGATGGCCCGATGGAGGGTGGTTCGCTTCCTGTACGGAAGGCTGCGCAGTGAATACGGCCCGCCTGCCACCCTGAGTTCCCCCTTGGTTCCCGTTCATGCCCCTTGCTCAGCACCACGCTCTGAGGTCCTCGCTCAGCAGCCAGGACCAGTGCAGGGTCGAGGAGCGGCGAAGCCGTGCTGGGCAGGACGCCCCGAAGCATCCCCTCCATCATTGGCCAGGGCCTGGGTTACAGTTCTTTTACTCAAAAATGCCTTGTATAATGGCCTTGAAGTTAAAAAACAAGAAAACAGAAAAAGTAATTTGTTTTCAGTTTAGGAATTTTACTCTGCAGCCAAAAATAATCCGAGACAAGTGTTGGCTGATTTTAGATGTTTAATGTCCCAATAAACGGTAAACTTTATCTTGTTATTTTGAAAGAACTTTGAGTTGGCCTGTATTATACCTTTGTATTTTCGTAGAAACTCAAAATCATTGAGCAAAGACTTTAAGAACAGCATCTCCGTTCTATAATGTTCTTGGGTGGGGGTGAATGTGGGAGGGGGGTGGGCTTTGAAAGGAGGAAGGCAGCTGAGAGGTCAGAGACCAGATCCCAACATCCTTTCCTTCTGACCCACTGGCTCCCTCACTGGCCAGGGAGAGGGAACGCTTAGAGCCTGGAGGAAGAGATGGCATTATTCCCAGATTTCCCAGAGGACTCATGGAAGCTTCTGATCCATATTCTCTCCCAAACATAGCGGGGGGTGGGGAGACCGTCCAGCACCAGCTCTCCAGGTGGGCTTGGATGGAACCATGAACCCCGTGGGGGTGCTGGGAGTCATAGGGTGGACGCTTCTCTCTTGTCTAAAATGAGTCTTGGTGCCTTGTTGTCTGATATCGCAGTTACCTGACAGACCTTGACCGCATCGCCATGCCGTCGTTCGTGCCAACACAGCAAGACGTGCTTCGCGTCCGAGTGCCCACAACCGGCATCATCGAGTATCCGTTTGACTTGGAAAACATCATCTTTCGGTAAGACTGTCTCCCTGACATGGTCCTCCCGATCTGTGTGGCCTTGGAAGTCCCTGGAGGGATTCTTAAGTGTGTTATTCCTCAAAGGGGTCTGTCTCCTAGAGGCATCTGATCCTCTCCATCTCAGTGTGTAACGACAAGAGGTCTCAAGTCCTAGATCAGAGAGGAACTCACCTTCCTGTTCCCCTTGGAACAGAACAGTCTCAGAACATTTCAGAGCACTTTTATACCCGTTCGTTCCCTTGATCCCCATCGGCGTTTTTACCTGATGCTTTTCTAGTGGAGATGACACCAGTCCGGTCCTTCCACGCCCAGGTGCTGTCTGTGAACCCCATTTCATCTCCGGGCCTCTGGAGCATTGTGGCACTGGGGAGCCCCCTGGTCCAGCCCCTTGAAAATCTGCATCTGGGACTCCATGAATTTATGACTGTGAGCTTTGTAGAATCGGTGCTGCCAGCTACTTCTGAACCCTGAATCTGGTCCCCAGCTGTATTCTCTGTGGCCCACTTGGTGTTTTCTAAGTCACTTTTGAGCCGGTATTTAACATTTGCTCCCTGGTTGCTCCTGAAAGGTTGAGGCGCCGGTGGGGGCCCGCGCGTCTGCCCGGCGCTGCTTACCTGCAGTTGCCTAGCCGTCAAGCCGCTAGCCGGGGCCCAGAGCATTCTCGAGGCTGCCTGCTGTTCGTCTCTGGAGAGACCCACTTGACTCGTTTCTGTAAACCGCCTGCCTCCTGCAGCGTCCGAGCTTACACGCCATCTTTGGGCTCTGACTCCTTTGAGTCTTTTCCCAAAGCCCCGGGTAGAGCCTTCGGGTTGCCACAGGTGACGGGGGAGACCTCCAGGTCTTACAGCCCAGAAGGGGTGGCTTCCATGTCATGTGGACTGGTGGGTGCGTCTGAGGAGCGTGGGAAACAGGCAGCGGGGAGGGCCTGGAAGAGGGCCTGCCTTTCTGCCCCTCCTGGTCTGGTGCCTGGCGCTCAACAGTGCTTAGAGGGACACTTACGTGATGCTTGTGCTTTCTGCCCGGACGAATGCAGCTGCTTCCAGACCGGCGTCCCCGAGCAGGCTCCCCGAGTGACCGCCACGGCACTGTCTCCAGTAACCCCCCCTCACGTTCCGTGCCTGCTTCGCTAGGAAGCACCTAGGGTCCCTCTCCGCCGAAAGCAGCGGTGCTTCAACACTGGCGTCTTAAGCCCCTTTCCACTCTAAAACATTATCGAAGATCCTAAGGAGTGCCGACTTCCACAATACGATTCCTGTCCATCTCCAAAGAGCCATGTGTTCTACCCTTTGGATGCTCTGTGTTTGTGTCGAACAGGATGGTAGATGTTGGTGGCCAGCGATCTGAGAGACGGAAATGGATTCACTGCTTTGAGAGTGTCACCTCCATTATTTTTTTGGTTGCACTGAGTGAATACGACCAGGTCCTGGCTGAGTGTGACAACGAGGTATGCTGGGTGGGGAGGGGCAGCTGTTTGTGTGCAAGAAGCCGGCCTGCTCTGGCGTTAGGTTCTGTTCTTGAGGTTACACTATCTTGCTCTTCCAAGTGTAGCCTGTGGAATTAAGAGGACCAGCATCACCTTCGTGCTTGTTAGAAATGCATGCCCAATCTACCCACACTGAGTTAATCAGAACTTGTATTTTAACCAGATTCCAGCTAATTCAAATACACATGAGAGTTTGAGAATCACTGGCCTGGAATTCCCTGGGGATCTTTAAGAGGAACCTGGCACATGGGTCCAATTGTAGACTCATGCAGCTGGGGTGGGGGCGGGCTGAGCCTGGGTTGGGATCTCAGGTGGTGCCAAGGGTAGAGCGTCCCGAAAGCACTGGTTCTCAGTCCTGGCTGCATGCATATTGGAATCCCCCGGGAAGTTTCCAGAAAAGACCATCTTTTGGAAGTCACAGTAGAGATTTGTATTTCTTGGGTTTGAGTCGGGGGTATCTTTGCCAAGCCCCTCAGAGGTGCTCGTGCACAGCCAAAGTTGAGCAGTGCTTTCTCATAAGCATGTGGGAACAGGCTTCCCGGTCTCTCTCCACAGGGCTTCCAAATGAGGTCCTAACTGAGCTAAGCAGTGGTGTGAGATGCTCAGAGCTGTTCTGATACTCCCCAGCCAGGCATTCCGCGTCCTCTGCAGAGCTGCCGTAGTGCCAGCTGTGGGGGATGGCAGCAACCACATCTGCCCAGAGCGCGAGGACAGCCGTCGCTGTCCCTTCTCTGGGAGGTGGGGCTGTGCGATACCACTGTCCTCCCCGTCTTTTCCCCAGCCTTGCACAAGACATCCTGATCTTACAGAAAAATGTCTCTTCCTTCTAGGTCATGGTAGTAAACCAGTAAAGCATTCTGCCCAGGATTAGGCAGTAACTATGAACAAATTATATTTTGTATTTCTCGAGAGCAGGCTTTTCTCTGAGGAGCAGAGTTACATTAGCTAATTAGGGGAGGATTAGCCCATTTACTGGTCTCATTGTACAAAGAAGAATCTTGGCTGCCACCCAGCTTTTCCAGGAGGGACATTAAAAAAAAAAAAAAAAAAAAGGAAAAGGCTTCAAGTTATCAATACGAAAAATGAGCTCCAAATTTGTCTCAGGATTATTTAATGATGTTTCTCCGGAAACTCAAAAGATTATTCAGGGGCAGAAGGGACCAATGCCTCAACCCAGTATGCTTACAAATTAGACATTTTCTCCTCTCCTAAAAGCCACAAGGTATTTGGGAGAGGACCTCCCCTCCAGACTCGCCCTCCTGCAGGTAGATATGTGATGTGTACGCTGGGCTTACAGGAATTGTTTCTTCATATATAGCTGATCCTTGAACAATACAGGTTTGAACTGCCCGGGTCCATTTACACATGAGCTTTTTTCCTGATAAATATGGTACAGTAAGTGTATTTACCTTAGGATTTTCTTCATGACATTTTTTTCTCTAGCTTTAGTGAAAGAATATGGAATATAACATCCATTACACATAAAATGTGTTAATTGTTATTGGTGAGACTCTGGTCAACAGTAAGGTATTAGTAGAGTTTTTGGGGAGTCAAAAGTTATATGTACATTTCCAACTGTGCCAGGGTATCAGCCCCCCTAACTCCTGCGGTGTTCAAGGGTCAACTTTCTTGTAGACCATTATTGATAAGACCATAATAAGTTTTTTTAAAGCTTTAAAAACAACTGAGGGGTTACCTGTCAGGTAATGAATTCCAGATCTTAACTGCAAAGAATGTGCTGTATAGAAGAATGGGCCCAGGTATGCAGGAGTTGCGGGGAGACAGACTTATTCCTCTGGAGCGGGTGTGCAAGGCTTTCATGTCTTTGACCGCTGCCCTCTATAAAGGGAAGTTTTTATTTCTTTACTCTTAGAAATCCTTGAGAGCAGGCGTGCCTGGCTGGCTCAGTTGGTGGGGCATGTGGCTTTGATGTCAGGGTAGGACTTCAAGCTCCACAGTGGGCTCTGCAGAGCTGACTGAAAAAATAAAAAAAAAAAAAACTTCAGAGTACAATCTAGAACAATTATTGTCACCAGATAAGATTTCTGTGTGCCCTGGGTACTCTCCCTAAATTAGGAACATTTGATATATTCCTGCCAATGTCTATCGTTAAATTTTTACTCTTTTTCTACATAATTTGGACCAGATCCTACTATTACACGGACTTGGGACCTAATTTAAATTTATGAGCACTAGTATGGTCATCCATAAAATGGGGACCCTGCTCCTCTAGCAGACCTCACCTGTATTAGCCACCTGTAAGGTGCGGCCCAGGGAAGGTGCTCAGTAGCATTGGTCCCAGAGGACCCTTCCTCTTGTGGTCTGGAAGCCCACCCCCAATTACAGTGGGTGTCTCAGGTCTATGTTATGCATTTTCACCACTTGGTAATCCCAATAATTTAACAGAAAATTTTTGCCAAATATGGGCATGAACCTTTTTCCAAGTTTCACAAAAGCCTTATATTTTGTATGTTTATTTGGGGTGCTGCAGGAGAACAGACTCAGGAGGGGGTGTTTGAGAGAACGGAAGAGGGCTAAAGAGAAGCTCAAGGCCTGGTGTCCTGGGGGTCGGGGGTGCCCTGTGCTTACCAGCTTCAGCACGGACAGTGGTGTGGCAGCTGGGCGAGGGGACACGTGGGTGGTACCAGCAATCTGGCTTGGTGCTTCCAAAGTATTGTTTTTCTTTATTAACCCTAAGTCCCTTGTTTCTCACTTAGAACCGCATGGAGGAGAGCAAAGCCTTATTTAAAACCATTATTACCTATCCCTGGTTTCTGAACTCATCTGTGATTTTGTTCTTAAATAAGAAGGATCTTTTAGAGGAGAAAATCATGTACTCTCATCTAATTAGCTACTTTCCAGAATACACAGGTAAGTAAGTGTCCCTCTTGTTGACCTCCCTGGCATCCGACCAGCGTTACTGACAGAGCCCAGGGGCCTCCCCGATCTGCCCCTAACAGACTTTTCCATGGAAGCTCCAGGTGCACGGTTCTGTTGTTGCCTCAGCCCCTCCACACATGCCAACCCTGTGAACTCCACCTTGTCCTCCAAGACCCAGCTCAGGCACATCCTCTTCGGGGAAGTCCTGCTCATGCTCCCCCCACCCTCTTCTGCACTCGAGGGCACCTCCCCGGTGCCCCGCTGGCCTTCCTCACTTGCATCGGCCGTGTGGCAAGAGCCCTCATGCTGTGACATCAGACCCGGGGGTCCAGTCCCAGTCCTGTGCTCTTCCTTCCCCTGCTCCTGGTCCACTTCTGTCTGAGTGGCCCAAACCAGAACATGGGGTCACTGTTTTTCAACAAATTGCTTTAAAGTGCACTTCTTAGATAGCAGTGGGCCCTTTCAAAGTCTCTTCTACAGGTTCATTATGAACCATAAAAGAAGTTAGCAGCCCAGGTAAACTCTTCTCTAGGAGTAAGATCATTCAGAGGAGGATCCCATGTGAGGACAGGAGTATCATGAACCTTGACTGTGGGGAGGACCTGGGGTCTAGGAGCTTTCTTCATTCCTGTCCCCGCACTCTTGACTAGGACCGAAGCAGGATGTCAAAGCCGCCAGAGACTTTATCCTGAAGCTCTACCAAGATCAGAATCCTGACAAAGAGAAAGTCATCTATTCTCACTTCACATGTGCTACAGACACGGAGAATATCCGCTTTGTGTTCGCGGCTGTGAAGGACACAATTCTCCAGCTCAACCTGAGGGAGTTCAACTTGGTTTAGAAGCTGCCGCCCACGCCTCACCCATCCCACAGGACAGGATCTGCAAGCTCCTCCCTTTTATCTGCCACTGCTGGTGACGTCAGCACCAGGCCCGCCGCACAGGCCCCAGGGACGGGTGATGGACTGTGTGAGATGCTGGAGTTTAGCCAACTATTTCAAAGCCTGTGTTTTTATATTTCTTTTCTTGACTTTTGGCTATGAGATTTTGTGTAAGTTTTGAATTCGATATTTTATAGAAATTTTAAAAAGCCACTGTGATTTACTGTGTTGTTGCTTTAAGTTAAAAGGTGTTTAATAATAGTCCTTAACACAACCTATAACAGAAGAGTCTGTTAATTTATAGATCATGCCTTGAGACCTCTAGGATTAAGTTGGGTGGCGTTTTTTTGTTGTTTAAAAGTTAATGGGTTTGAAGCTTTTTATTAAATCTTGTAATTTAGAGATTTTAAATTGAGTGGTTTTCTCTCTTCATGCTGAAGTATGCATTTAACATGCCATCAAAGATTTTTTAAGTTTTTTGTGTGTGTTAATTATTTCTTAAGCCAAATTAATGACTATGTCAGTGTATCTTAGTTTTGTCATAACTGATCACCATGCAGTCGAAGCTGACATAAATGGGCTCTAGACAGCACAGATGTTGTACTGGTGAAAAATATGTGTGTGCGCGCACGCGCGTGTATATGACTGATTATATAAAGTCTCTGGCGGTCTTGTAAACTTATAAAATGGCTAAAAGCCTAAATTGTTTAACAAATGTAACGTCACCCCTGCCAAAGTTCTGATGGCCACCACAGATTTGGTGTTGGAACCATGGATTCTGTGCCTTTCTGAGGAGGCTAAGAATATACCATTCTGCCATTAGCACTGGGTTATGTTGTGTTTCTTTGAGCTCATGGTTGATATAAACTATGAAAGTCACAGCATTTTTCTAACTCAAACTTTGTCCCTGTAGGGGAGGAAAAATAAATTTCCTTTTACCTTCTAGGTTCCTGGCTGAGATCCCCACACAAAACCGATTAACGAGGTGGGGAGCGGGGGACCACTTTAGTTTAATATTATGTATGCCTCTGTGTACAGGAGAGATACCCAGAAGAACTGAGTAAATCCCAAATCGGCTCAGTTCTCCCCTTGAGTACCTTTTCCAGCTAAATATTTTGGGGGAGGAGGAGTCGCCTATGAGTGGTTAGCCCCGTAAACAAGAGTAAGGGTGTTAGGATGTAGAGTGCTCCTTCTCTCTCTTGTACAGAGCTGGAGAGACCCTTACAAATGGGGAGTTCCCTTATCCATGTCAATTTCCCTCATAAAAGGGTAGCTCTTGCCACATTTTCAGAGCTTTTGCTGCATCTCCTGTTTCTTAAAAATATTCAGCTCAAAATCATCCTTGTGCCAAAGAGGCATATTTTGGGGTGCCACGGTCTGCTCCCCTTTGGGTCTGCCTTTGAAACTTCAAATTACCTTCACAGTCCAGAAGCTGAGTGGATTGACAGATTGTTCCGTAGTTCCATGGAACCAGTGTCGGTCTTGCGAACAGGTCAGGTTGGCTCGTTTCAGGAGCTGGAGGGGCAGGTGGAAGCCCGGTTAGGCCTCTGCCGTGCAAGCAAGGATTTAATGAGCATTTCGGGGGGGGAGGGGAGGGTAGTGGTTGGAGCAAATCATGCACTGAATCTCTGTCCTGAGGGCAGCCGGTCAGAAGAGCTCTACACGTTGGGGTCGAAGGATCTTCTGCAGAGCGAACGTCTCTGTCGTCAGGTGTTGAGGTCAGCTTTGGCCCACAAGGTAACAGGCACGAAGACTGTAAACGTGGGCTGCTGGGGCATTTCTGTGGCGTTTGTAGCAAGTCATTCACATTCAGTTTGCAGGGCTGGGCTCCACACTTTTGCAGAACGTTCTGAAATAACTTCTATAATTGACAAAAGACTTACAAAATGGCCAATATTAAAGATCTGATGAGAGTTCACGATAATGCAGCTGACAAGGACATCTGGTTACTTCTGTGACCTACATTTTAAGGTAACTAGAATTATAAGTGATAACACTACAGCACGACGTATCAAATCAAATTTCCAGGAATTTCATGCAGTTTGTTTTCAGTGACTCCAAGTCAAAAGAGAGTAAAATTGGGAATGTTACTTTGAGGAGGTCTCTAGCAAGATTATGCAAGGAAACTAGAAGAATTCAGGATGAAGTCCATTTACAGGTAAATAATGAAACTTCAGACAACACAACTAGAATCTGATACTCACAGGGTGTAGTAGAGTTTCCAATGAAGCATCATCTTCCTCTGTAATCATCCCCACTTCTGCCAAAGATAGTAACAAAATTACACTTGGCCTGATTATTTACGTAACAAGAATAGTGGTTGACCGTATATTTTCTTTGAAATTTTGGAACTTATTAGAACTTATCATAAGGAATCTCAGATTGGGGGGTGCCTGGGTGGCTCAGTGGGTTGAGCCTCTGCCTTCGGCTCAGGTCATGATCTTGGGGTTCTGGGATCGGGCCCCGCATCGGGCTCTCTGCTCAGTGGGGAGGCTGCTTCCTCCTCTCTCTCTGCCTGCCTCTCTGCCTACTTGTGATTTCTGTCAAATAAATAAATCTTAAAAAAAAAAAAAAAGAATCTCAGATTGGACTTACCCTCATGTTGCCTATAGTACCTATAGATTTAGGTTAGTTCCTCTCTTCTTAAGATTGCCCCAAATATTCTAAGGTTCCTGTACCTGCCGGAAAGTAACCTTTCTTACTGGGTAAGGTGCCTGGAACCCTGTAAAGAGGCTGTACCAACTCCATAAAGTCAAACTAACCTTCTTAAAACTGCACAGTCATGTCTGATTCTATGGACATTCTCAAATATGACAGTCCACTCAAAGTCTTGGTAGTATAACCAGTGTTTCTAACTGTGTCCTCTTATAAGAACAGATGCTTATTGAACTTTATAAGTAACCGTATTGCCGTGAAAATAAGAAGGGTCACTATGAGTTTCCAAATTCTAGAGGGACCAGGTAGGGAGAAAAAGTAATTGTTTCATTTTGTTCATTAATACATACTTTACCAAATTGCTGTAAGTCATAGGTAGCGTAAGAAAAAATAAAAAGCTTTCCCTTAAGTCTGGAAATAACTAGTATTTCAAAGTCATAAAAATTAAAATCGTCCTCATTGGTTCATTCAATCCCATGTAATCCTTGCTTATCTTCATCTCTTACTAGCACTTTTGTAATTCCACTTTTTCCACAGTTTTAGAAGGTGAATGGTATGATTTGAAAGTTATCAGAAACCTGTATTTGTCAGAGTTCTTTCCATGAATCTCCTTGAAGATGAAGCAGTTTTGCAAAAGCAGAATAATAACGCCTATAAATAGCAAAACACTTTAAAAATGGCAATGGTTGGGCGCCTGGGTGGCTCAGTGGGTTGAGCCTCTGCCTTCGGCTCAGGTTATGATCTCAGGGTCCTGGGATCGAGTCCCGAATCGGGCTCTCTGCTCAGCAAGGAGCCTGCTTCCCCCTCTCTCTCTGCCTGTCTCTGCCTACCTGTGGTCTCGGTGTGTGTGTCAAATAAATAAATAAAATCTTAAAAAAAAAAATGGCCATGGTTAAAGATCTAGTGAGAGTTCACTATAATGCAACTGATAATAAGTAGAATTACAAGTGTTAAGGACATAACAGATTTCTAGGAATTACAATTTCTGGAACATTTATGTTAATGACCTGTAGCCATACAAATACAGCCGAAGCAAAGGTTAGTATCTCTTACTTGGGAGTGCTTCCCATGTAATTTAGTAGAAGTCTAAGGGGCCCTCTGGAACATCCCTAGTTATTTCAAGGTCAAAAAGACTTCATTTAGGGCGCCTGGGTGGCTCAGTTGGTTAAGCATCTGCCTTCGGCTTGAGTCGTGATCCTGGAGCCCGGGATGAGTTCGCATCAGGCTCCCTGCTCAGCGGGGCGTCTGCTTCTCCCCCCTCTCATGCTCTCTCTCTCTCTCAAATAAATAAATAAATCTTTTTAAAAAGACTTCATTTAGAATTTAAGTTTCAGTTCTTCAAACAGCTCAATAGTTTTGAATACTTGACCAGAATTTAGAAACAATACTCGATTACCTATTTTAACCAAAGTGACAAAAAATTTCAAAGGCAAATACAGAAGGTTACATAGTTGTGAGCAAAACTGGGCTCTTGAGAAGCCTGGGTTTTCTTAAGTAATCAAAAAATTGATGATAAAGATAACATGAAACACAGGAAATTATTTCAGTAAAACACAAAATCTTTTTTCCAGTCAGCTTGAAAGATAAAAAACTGTGAAAGGTTTTTCTCTATCAGTAGCAGACCAAAGTCAGAAAGAACTTTGTCTTTTTGTTACCAGCTAGAACCCAAGCCCTCACCATTACAGCCCCTTGCTCGTACTCACCGACCTTTTTTCTACATTTCTCCTTAAGCTCTTCTTTCCAGTTTATTGACTCAGGCAGAGGCCAATAGCATAGGGAAGGTCCTGATAAGACCTCCAGCAGGCCCACACCACCCAAACCAGTTTGAGCTTAACCCCTGGCTCGCACCTGGGCCCTTGGACCACGGAGTGACCTCTCGAGTGACCGACAACTACATACACCTCACTGTAATACTAAAATCTCCACCTAATGAGGAGCACAACCTCATTTACATAACATACAATGTAGCGTAGACATCCTTCCTTAAGGTGCTTGTGGGATCTCATGCCTGCCTCCACATCTGATGACAAGAGATCCATCCCTTTTAGAGGATTCTTTTTTTTTTTTTTTTTTTTTTTTAGATTTATTTGAGAAAGAGAGCAAGTGAGCATGTGCCCATGAGCTGGGGGATGGGGAGAGGGAGAGAGAGAATCTTCAGCAGGCTGCATGTCCAGAGCAGAGCCTGACACAGGGCTCAATCTCACAACCCTGAGATCATGACCGGAGCTAAAATCAAGTCAGACACTTGACCGACTGAGCCACCCAGGTGCCCCAAGAGATCCCCTTTTTAAAATATTCACCCTAACCCTAAAGAAAAGGAACCCATGCACACTTACGCAGGGAGTCATAGCTTTGGAGGTTATGCCCGTTGAACTCCTTTTTTTGCTGCAAATTTTACTTTGTCCACCAACCCAACCGGGTATACTGTTTATCTTGACTGGCCAGGGAACAAACTCAAGTTGGTTCAGTTACACCTTCAGGAGATGGAAGAAAACCAAGTTTTAGTTTTATTCGAGTATACTATTGATACTAAAGTTTATGTTTACACATGTATGAATTCATACCATTTTAGCTAGCTTAATTACACACAGTTTTCTCTTTCCAACTTTCTATATCCAATTCATTTTTCCTTACTCTACCTTTCCTCTTCTGAAACAACTCGTTCTACTCCAGGACACTACTCTTTCCTGTAACAAGAATGCATCTTTGTATCTCATACCTTTTCTGAACCCAAACCACATCTTACTTTCCTTGCATACAGAGAAGTTTTAATTACGTATATTAACGAGTATTCCCAACCCTCTGAAACCTTAATTTCTAGAACTAAGAAGCAGTTATCAACTGTAGTTTGGCAAATTTATGAATACATTCCATAATTTCTAGAAGCATATGCTGCTTCATAGTATAATTTTTCAGTGTGGTACAAGATGTTTACTAATACACCCAAATATATTTAGTTTTTCTGTATTAAGCCAAAAACATACAAACCTATGTTCAGTAATATTCCAGTATTTTATCATATTTGGAATTTTAGATATTCCAATGAATTTCCATCATTTAACTTGGGAAAATTTTATAGGTTACAATTACCAAAAAGATTTTGAAAGCTATTTTAAAGCTATTTTAAAGACTTGAAAGCATATCTTCTATGTCATCAAACATCACTGTTGAAAATTTCATTTATAAACTTTAATCCCACTTAAATCTACTTAATTCACTTGTTCTTAATCATACTGAGATGACTTCTAAAGACATTAAGGCCATCATTCTTTTAGTTTTCTTGCCGACAAGTTTTGTAACAGAGATAACAGGAACTCATTTGACTAATAAACCAGGTAGAATAAAAGTTGTATGTTTGCATTACATCCAAAATTGACAACCCTGAAGACATACCTACTTCAATTAAACCAAATTACACTGGCTTTTACTTACTGAATATTTTCCCAGATCACATGAATTTGGAAAACATTTGGGTTAATTTTTGTATTTCTGAGTCTAGAAATGCTTAACTCACATAAGCAGTTACTTCTGAGCCAACCAAGAGTAGAGCTAGTTTACAAATTAATTTTGGCAATACCATCTGGAGGTAAAAAAAGAAAATTTTTTTTTTTTATTTGATAGAGATCACAAGTATGCAGAAAGGCAGGGAGAGAGAGAGGAGGAAGCAGGCTTCCTGTTGAGCAGAGAGCCCGATGACGCGGGTCTTGATTCTAGGACCCTGGGATCATGACCTGAGCCGAAGGCAGAGGCTTAATCCACTGAGCCACCCAGGCGGCCCCCCAAAAATATTCTATCTACAACACACACAGACACACATAAACATAGATACAAACTGACCTTATACCTGTCGTTGTAACATTTTAACTATGAATCTGGTAAAATAACACAAAAGTCAGTAGTTTATAAAAGAACAGCTGGTGGGGCACCTGGGTGGCTCAGTGGGTTAAGCCTCTGCTTTCGGCTCAGGTCATGGTCCTAGGGTCCTGGGATCAAGCCCTGCATCGGGACCCCCCACCCCCACCCCGCCCCGCCGCCCGCCTCTCTATTTACTTGTGATCTGTCAAATAAATAAATAAAATCTTAAAAAAGGGAAAAAAAAAAAAGAACAGCTGGATCCAAATTGTGTTTCTGGCAGATGGAATGAGTTAAGTTTACTTATGGCTAACTCAGAAGGCAAAGGCTTTTTTACGGAGATTTGTATGGAAGCCACTTTTTAAAAAAATTGTGCCCAATTTCTAAAAAGCTCCTTTTCTCCTTCTAATGGGAATCATCTCCCCAAAGTCTTCATTTCTTTTTTTTTTTTTTAAGATTTTTATTTATTTGACAGATCACAAGTAGGCAGAGAGGCAGGCAGAGAGAGAGAGGAGGAGGAGGCAGGCTGCCCGCTGAGCAGAGAGCCCGATGCGAGGCTCGATCCCAGGACCCTGGGATCATGACCTGAGCCGAAGGCAGAGGCTCTAACCACTGAGCCACCCAGGCGCCCCCAAAGTCTTCATTTCGAAGAGATAGCTCTCAGGTCCTCATGAAGATGGGGGTAGAAAATAGACATCAAAGGAAAAGGGAAAGTATCCAAGTTGTCTCCAGGGGCCGTGGGGCATATTTGCCTACTACCAGAAGTCTAGAGTAATTACTATTAAAATTTTTCCTTTTCTTAGGTGTGGGACAATTCCATTTCCAATATTCCAATCTTATGTAGTAACTGCAAGCATTTTGAGATGAAGAGGGGAGGTTTTGGGATTGGCAACGATGGATGGACTTTGTAGTGCTTCTAGAACTGCATTTCTAGTTTTGTAAAGATTTTTAAGACAAAAGATGGTATTTCTAATTCCTCAAAGAAGTAGAGGAGCCTGAATGCATTATGGGGCTGACACACCCATCCAACTACATTATCTTTGATTTGCTTTTTTATATCCATATTGGGGAAGATTTCCATTCCAACTAAGATGGAAATCAAGAGTCTTATGTCCAGGAACTTCAGGGCTTAACACAGTATGCCTGTGTAAAGAGTATATGAAACATTCAACAAGAACCTCTGAATCCTCTCCTCTTCTGAGCGTAGACTCCAACCTGGGACCAACTCACTTTAGGGTGAAAAGACCTACTATTGCTTTTATCAGTCACTGCACATCAGCCTTCGCCAATCCATTTCCTGAGCATTTGCAGGAAGGCCTGGGAGAAATTCTGGTCATCCATTTCCTCTGTGAGGGGAGTCTGCCCCAAGGGCCTGGCTGGGTTGTCTGATCACTGCAGCGTAAACATGGGTGAGAAGAAGAACCCTGAGCAGCCAATCGAGGACCCTGTGAGTGGAGTTGTAAATGGCCACTGATCTACCTCTTCTCTAAATCTGGTAGAAATCTTCTGAAAGTGGAGATAAAAAGCGCTTTGCAATTTCATCTTGTTAAGAGAGTCCTTGAGGCTGATACTATATTCCTTCATGTCTTTTCAATTTGCCCATTCTCTAGATACCAGTGACACAACCATTTAGATTGAGATCTAAAAAAATTTTTTTCAAATAGTTAAGTCTTTCCAATTCAAATGATCCATCATCTGGCTATTGATGAGTAGAATCTTATATTAACCTCCAAAGGGACTCAAACTCATAAGCCTTTTTTTATGGCTTAACCATGGATGCAAGAGGTGCCCTCTTTGGGCAGACAAGAGGTATCCTACCCTGTGCTGGAAAAGATGCAGTCCTTACAAATCCAGGAAGTTCACTGTTAGGGTTAACGTAAGAAAGCAAAGACCTTCCCTTGTCACAGGCCATTAGAATGATATAGTGAAAGGATGTCTCTTGTATCCCATGAGAACGTGAGACACCTCCAGTCCTAGACATGCTAATCCGTGATCCCGGACACATGCTGCTAGAATGGGACTTTTCTGGCACCGAGACAACGAAGGTTGAGAAGACAGGTCCCTTATGGACTGGGAACCCCTAAGATAAACTCCCCTGAGAGCTGGCACAGTGGCTTCTCACTTCATGTCCTGGATCCCCGGCCTATATGGCTCGCTGTCACGTATAAACCCATGCTTGCATTTTCCCTCTAGTGGAGACCAGGGAAAGTATTCTCACTGGTCAAAAAGCCAAGCTCTCAAGACACAAAAATGAAAGGAAAATGTCTGGCCTATCGTTCTCCTTTTCCCGACAAATGACACACAAGAGACAACAGAAAACAACGACCATCTTTGGAAAGAAAGGGATCAACAGAAAACAAGGGTACTCATAAGAAGAATCTTTACCAGAGTCTCTATACACAAAGAACTGTTCATACAAATACTTTCTCCTGCTAACGGAAATTTGTAAAGAATGAAGAAGGTGAAATTTTCCCTTCCTCTCTCAACTAGGCACAGAGAGACAGCTAGGGGAGCTATGCTGGTAAGGCTTCTTACCGTTTGCCAGCTTCTGCCAGTTTTCCAGGATCCTGTCTGCAGGCTCCAGGGGGTGTATGCTGTTTCAGCAAGTCCATGATGAGTCACCAAACTGTAGGGGAGGAAAAATAATTTCCCCTCTTCTTTTCTAGATTGTTGAGTGGGATCCCATCCCTGTAATAAAAGATTAACAGGAGAAAAACAGTTCGATAACATGTACACCTTCTGTAAACATGGGAGAAACCCAGGAAAACTGAGTAACCCTCTAAAATGGGCCAGGCTATCACCTTACTTTTCTCCCCACACAAGAAAGGTGTTCGGGGTGAGGAAGGCCAATTATGGGGCGCTACAAGGAAATGTATGGTAAGGTCGACATGCAGATGTAAGTTGGGCTCCTCCTCATAAGCATTTCTTGTGATTGAGGTCCTCCTTCTTTTAATACAAAGAGGGAGACACCCTTCAAATGGAGATTTGCTTATGAATTTCATTACAAAAGGTAACCCCTGCTTTTCCTGTGTCTGTTGTTCCTTAAAAACAATTCTTATGCCAAAGAGACATGCTTGGGGGCATAGTCTACTTCCCTTCATCCTCCTTTTTGAGGTCTTCTGCATTCATCATCATGTTGTGTTGGGGTTCCCCTAGTAGCTGGCCCAGTAAAACAGAAACAGAATCACCTGGGAAGCGCAGAATATGCCAAACTAGAGGCCCGGTGTGGCTTTGTGTTTGCTTTTTATTTGAAGGTCTGAGCACACGTACTAAAACATACACAGCACAGTGACTTAGGGATTTAAGGTGTGATGGGTCTGATCTCCAATCAGTCTGGGAAACATACTCCCATAGCTATGCCTGTTACGGAACAATGTGTCAGCGCTCCTGTAACCGCACTGAGCCTTTTCATTAGCCAGTGAGAGCACAGACCGGTTCTCATTCTGCTGGACACTTGCAAACTGGTGTGAAGCTGGTAAAGAGCAGAAGAGCATCACTGCTGGGAAAACAGGAATTATTCCTCCAGCTCGCGGTTCTACCACAGCAACACTAAGCTGTAAAAACCAACCTTCCCTCAAGACATGAATGCAAAGCAACAGTTTTTGTGGAACCTGACAAAATGCTAAAAATTAGCTGGAACAGTGAGGGTCTAGGAAAAGAAGAGCCAAGATACCTTTGCCCAAGAGAGCACAGGGATGGGGAAGCAGCTCTTAGGGATATCTAGGAACAAACAAAAAGGAGAGCCGTAGGGAGGAGGGGAAAGACACGGCGCACTGAAGCTTAGGAACTGCTTCTGATCATTACTGAACTTAATGCTAAACGTTCAAGACCGTCAGTAATCAAGGGAATTAATGTAGGATTTCGTTTTTTAAGTTCCTGCTAGCACTGAATTGTTATTTTTAATTTACCTTCAGCTGAGAAAGCATGTTAAGAAAATGATGGGCTTTCAATCAATCCAGTAGCAGGAAGGCTATCTAATAAACCAGAACAGAGAATAGTAATAACAAAGTATTTTCTTAAGTCATGCAAAGGCTGAACTCTCCGTATCAGAGGCAAAGTAATTATCTCTGCCAAATATTAATTAATTATGCAAGTAAAAACATTCTCTCCTACCCCTTCCTTCAAACTGTGCCCATTACTTACCGAGGAAACGAGCCATTAGAAGTTTGCTGAGGTTGAGAAGCACAGTCTTGGTGCTTTGCTTAACAATTTGCAAAGTATTGATCAACGGGTTTTTAGTTTGCAAGGACCATGCTGGGCTGGAATGCTGTCTTCTAGAAAAATCAGGAGTTTAGCCAATCTCTTTGTTATCCACATTTATGTAAGCCCCCGAGAGAGAGTTTAGAGAGGTGAGGGAGGACTTACTGGTTATGTTTCTGGTTCTACCCAACAACTAAAAACAGAGGCAGACTGAAGATGAGAAAATTTTACTTGACCCATTTTATTGGAAAAAGTATACATTACCCCTGAGGAGTCATCTGACCGAGAAACCTCATTCTACCAAGGGCAAAAAGAGGAGGAACTTCAGTATAAACGTTTATGTTTATAAATTATCAACATTTTAAAATAAAAAGGCAGAGACTATAACAGGCAACTGGTCTGGAGCCCACATTAGGCATATAAGGAACACAGAAGTGAAGGAAATATTGCCGTGATGCAGAAATAGATATTTTAAAAATTAACATCATCAATAACCATATTTTTACCAAAGAACCGTAAGCATCCCAAAGAAGCACAGACTATTTGGTCAACAGAAAAATTAGTAAGGAAGTATTAGTAAGGAAGTACGTATTCCCTGAAAAATCTGTTTTCCTTTGTCATACACATATTCACATACAGAGATGATCATTTTTCTAAAAGTCTGTAACAATCTACCCAACCTTGAAAGGAGCCCCAGGTATGATTTGTAATAGTTTGTGTATAAAATTATTGATACTCAGAACATTTTAATGTAATTTACATTTTTGAGTGTTTTTCACCCCTTAAATAGAACTTTTGGGTAGCCAATGGAACACCGACAGTATGATGACATAATAAGAGACAGGGGGGCTTTCCAGCAGTTCTAGGCATAGTACTGATTGTTAGACTTTTTATTGTGGAACTCTCACAGGATTTCTTGTTATAGGACCTCACTGGAAGGGACCCATTTTTGAGGTATCAGAATAACACATCATGAGTGTTCAGTGACAGGGTTTTCAGATCGACAGATCATATCATAGTGGGTATTAAACTAGAGTACATGTTCATTTATAGTGTATAAAGTCATAAAAATTTTAAGTACACACATATCAAACTATAAAATTTGAAGTCACATTTGTTATGTAGCTCTTTGGGAACCAAAATGATCTTTTTTTTTTTTTTTTTTTGAAAATGCTATTATGCTTTTAAAAAAGAATCCATACTTCTAAAGTAAAACTTTTTTTTTTTAGTAACGTGGCACTTTTTTTTTTTTTTTTTAAACAAAACAGGAAATAAAGTAGAAAAGGTTTCAATTAAGGAAACACAAAGGAGGTGTGTAACAGAGGAGGATCCAGCATCTTCTCAGCCTGTGGGGTGGCCGGCTTGCAGAATCACCTTGAAACAAGTATTCCTTTATACCCATTGTGCCAGAAAGAAAAGCATGAGCGAAGGTCTTCATTCACAGTTGTATTGGCCAATGACCAAAACTACAGAGCCAACGAACCATACACATTTTAACTGATTAAACGCAGCTGGTTAGCATCAGCAGTCAGGTAGATTTCAAAGCCCTGGGTGAAGGGCCTTCTTTGAAGGCATGTGAAGGAGCTACAGGGGATACTGGGCAACAGCATGGAAAAAACTGAGACTGAATGAATTTTGTCCTGAACCTTGAATAAGGAATGCAGGTTATTTCTACCTGGAATCTAAAGAAAGGAAGAAACCCACTTATTTCACTCGACTGCATGGCACTGGCGTGTGTATAGCACCTTCCAGAGAACACATACTCCGGCCCTACAAAAGTGTCACCTGTAGCTAAGCTCCCCATTTTTAAGGGCCTTTACCAGCTTCCAGTGAATCACATGGACGGCGGATGAGCAAGCTCATAAAAGGAGAGAACTGCTGTGCCTGATCCTAGTAGGATGATTAGTGGGAGACAGGTTGAAATATCCCTGGTTAAATATCTCTAGTTAAAAGCCTGTGGAGTTTTTGGGGTGCTGTCTGCAGATCTAACTTTGCTTTTTCTGGTACCTGAGGGCATCGGATATACATCAGGAAAGGAGAATATCTCATAAAAAGCAAAACAAGAGCCATCCTATCTTCTCCCTCCAAAGAAAAAGACGGTGCTCACAAACTGAAGATGCCCTGAGTTGTGGATCTGCTGCTCCTTCTCTGAGGCCAGGTTCCACACTGTCCAGACTGTTCCAACAATCAGCGTGTGGCCCACACCTCCCACAGCAGTTGTTCTCAAGGTTTTTTGTTTTGCCCTTTAAAAAAAAAAATGCAATTCACAATAGAAAACAACATTTTATATTGTGACAGAGTACACATAGTGTATAAACTATTTAGGAAACATCTCAGGAAACAATTTAACCTTGTTACATGCAATGTTCTCTTATTTTCATTTCTTTTTTTTTTTTTTTAAAGATTTTATTTATTTATTTGACAGAGAGAGATCACAAGCAGGCAGAGAGGCAGGCAGAGAGAGAGGAGGAAGCAGGCTCCCTGCTGAGCAGAGAGCCTGATGCGGGGCTCGATCCCAGGACCCTGAGATCATGACCTGAGCCGAAGGCAGCGGCTTAACCCACTGAGCCACCCAGGCGCCCCTTATTTTCATTTCTATTCTACTTTTAAGCTATGCTGGCCTTGAGATGTGAAATTGGTTTTATGGGCCACTAATGGGTTAAGACCTACAGCTTGAAAACCACGGTCCTTGAGGATTTGGACTGATCTTGAGAAAAGGTAAAAAGCAATGGCCTCGGAACCCAGACAAATTTCTCTCAATTGTGTTGGCAGGAACAGGAAAACATCCAGCTCCAAACGGCTACTTCTATCTGCAGTGACTGGACACCCAGTTCCAACTGCTATAAGCAAATTAGCCTAGCATCTTCGGTCCCAGGCTTTTTAATACATGGGCCGTGGCTTGGCTTGAGGGCTCACTTAACACTGGCAAGTGGTGAGTGAATAACTGAGGTGCAGAAAATTCAGCACTGAGTCTTTAGTTTTTTTATCAGACAGGAATAAAATACCATGATATTTCTAAGAGATAAGCTAGATGCATATATATTCACTGGGAAAAGTTACTGTTATTATCATCATAAAAACACAAGAGAATTATGATGGAAATAATTAAGAAGGAATTCCTAACTTATCTGGAGGCCACAGGACCGTTTAGTCATGGGTTAGGATTGTGGAGGAGGGTGGATCAGGGAAGGACTGCCTAGAGCAGCTAATGATTATTTAGGGACCAGAAAATAACTTGGTTGTGTTAAACTGAGCCTAGGGGAAATCCCAAGGTCTTGTTAACTCTAGGGAAAAAGCAGCCAGTACATACACAGTAAGAGGGAAGCCAACGGAGAAGTGCACATGTTCCTAGGTTCAGTCATTTTGTAAATGTGAAGAAATCAGAAGCTTCTCGTTGGACCAGAAATCAAAGTTGCTATTTCTAATGATCTTAATTTTTCAGAGGAGAGTTGGGAGGGAACAGATACTCTGTGTTGGGATTTACACAATCATCACAGACAGACTAGATGCTGGGCTAGAAATAAGGGGCTGGGGCTCAAGCTAACTACATGGAGAAGGGACACAATACTCGGGATCTCACTCCATAGCACCTTCCAACTGACCAGGAGTAGCTTAAAGCTCTCAAACAGAGATCCATTAAATGCTAAATAGAATTCAGGGAAGATTATTTTCAAATAGAGTCAGATTATGGGCTCTGTAATGTTCACGAACATAGAATCAAACACATAATTATAAAATGTTATGCTAAAAAGACCGGCTCTTCATCTAGCAATCTACCAATGTGACTTATTTAGATGAAGACAACCTCCTAAGACAATTGATAAACGACTCTTCTTGTAATTGTGGGTCTTCCTACTCTAGAAACAAAGTGACAGGAGGTGTTGATGGGTAGACCACTTGTCAAAAATAAAAGATATTTCTAGGTCCTCATTGGTAAGTAAACACAGGAAAAACAGGCAGGCTGGCTTTGCATATGTACTAGTTACAAGACCCATTCCGTGCTGCTCTCCAGAGAATACTAAAAAAAATCTTTGCTTACTCTTTTCGGCTTTTCTCCTTTACCATGGAACACCAAAGAAGTTATGTGTCTATATCTTTTCTGAGAATGAAATCATGAAACTGTAATAGGTAAAGAAGTATTTGGTTAATGGCACCAAATGGAACTCCAGTAAAGCAACATTTCAAATGGCGATAATCTGATGGAAGTTTTCTGGCCACTACTTTTAGTTTTAATGTATATGAAATCAGAGGAGCTGAACAACAGAGAAAATGTCTATGTTGCTCTGAACCAAAGTCATCATGGGAGTACGCACTACCATGGGATATGAAATTTGCCATCTTTTGATTCAATTTATGTTCAGCAAAGAAAAAAGCATCCTGAGGGAAATAATTAATAATAAACAATGTGTTTCTACAACCTCAAAGGAAAATCAGTAGGATTCAGACAGGAAGAAATACAATTACAGTCTGGCATGCTGTTTATTTTAGCTTTTACAACAAAGCAAGGGTTTGAAGACCCTGAGAAGAATTTCACAATCACTGACTATACAGAGTCTCCAATCCCAGAAACAGTTTATAATAATTTCATGGCACATACGACATGCATCAAATACTCTGCATTATTCGATAACAAAATAAGACACTGGATCATTCTCTTCATGGTTTCACAATCATATATTCATCCCCTTTTACTTGAAAAAGTCCATTAATATTAAGGTACAAGGATCTTGGACAAAAACCAAGAAAAAAAAACCCGTGGCCTTTTTTTAACGAATGCATAGCCCATGATTTCTGTCCTGACAAGCTTTCAAAAGTGATTCTCATTTAAATAACTGTAGAGAAAGCACAGCAGCAATTCCCAATCTTCTGTCAACAAAACAGGTAATTGACTCTTCAGGGTAGAGACATTTACTTACAAGAAGGGCTGTCTGTTCTGAAGCATAACTTGTGTGTCAGATGGTGGGAATTCTATTTCACACTATCAGTGAATGGAGAGTTGGTATTATTAAGGCTTCAGGAATTTTCCATTAAAGTCAGCAATCTGTTAAAAACGTGACTTGGGTAAACCAAGTAGATCCCATGATGTTGGCAAGAGGAAGTATTTCTAAGGCTTCAAAGTTCTGAAAGGGGCTCTTCCTTTTTGGGTCTGACACTCATTTCTTCCAGCCTTTCTTAAGATGAAGCTTGAAGGGGTATTATTCAATCTGTTTTATATTAAAAAAGGTTGTTTTCATAGTCATGCTATGGAAGTATAATTCAAACCCATCCTTTATAAAAAAATAAGGAAAATAATACCAAAATATTTATCTGTAAAAAGAATTTCACGTTTCTAAAGAAACCACCACTAAGGTTCTCTTGATACCATTGAGGCTACGTTTGATTTGATCATTTTCCTGTCACTGATTCAGGGAGTCTGAAATAAGCATGATAGAAGTTTAAAATACAAACCAGGAACATTAACCTTAGCTCCATGGGGGGCGGGGTGCAAAATATGGGCAATTTCTCCACACTGCAGAGAACCCCTTGGAGCAAATATTTAAGATTCATAAAAGAAATGCTTCTTTTATAAAGTAGAAGAATTTTAACTAGATGCATGATTCAAGTTAGAAAACCAACTGGATCCCCACTGAGTTGAAATATTTTAATCACATGATTGTTTTACCTGATTGTAACCGATTTTGTGTGTATGTTTGTTTTTTTTTTAAATTTCTTTAGTACTTGAAATTACTTCTGTACTATACTTCCCAAACTGGTTGTGGAAGGTACAAGGTTGAAACTCTAATAATTTATTGCTGTGTCTCTTCAGGCAGTGTTCTCCATCAGAATCTCGGGGAAGGTTCTCTTGCCTCTTCTAGTTTTGTGAGGATCCACTGTTGTGGGGAAATAAATCAACATTTGCTTATTTCAAGAACTTGCAATGAAACTCAAAATGTAATGAGTATAAATTTAGAAGTTGGCTTTCTATTTCGGTTAGGTGTATACTCATGGCCAATAATTACATTCATCCTGCCTAAGACATTACTTGCCTCAGTTAAATAGTCCAGAAGTTCAGAGACAATGGTACCAGGTTTGATTTACTAATAAGAATAATATTTTTCTAAGGTCTTTGGACGTGAATGTGCATCTTCAGAATAAGAAACATAAAATAAATCATGCTGAGAGAGGAGTCATTTGGCAGCCAGCTGAGTAACTTGTGGCATACTGTGAAAACTATCTGTGCAACCTTTCTTCCAACAATGTCAGTTCTGTGTCACAAACCTTCATGACTCCATATATAGGATTCTACTGCTGGAGGAGGAGTAATTACACAGAATTCTAGAGTGGCTGGCAGGAGAGCAACCTTCTTGAGCAGTTTATGTGCTCTCATGATACAAATATTTTCTATCTTAAAAGGCTCTGAAATTGCAAAAATAAAATGCAAATATAATGCAAATCTTCCTACCAATAATATCTATCACCACTGGGGCTGTGTAATGGATGAAAGCACTGGAGGCAATATTAGGGTTATCCCATTATGAGAAGCTTCCGCAGAGGTCTATGTGCTTCTATTAATGAAAGAAGAACTTAGTGGGACTGTCTCTAAGATAAACAGAGAACGAGAACTGAGCCCAGCAGCCTTCTCTGGATGTTTCTGGGAGAGCAGGAAGATTAAAAACAAACCTTCTGGGATAAAATAACATGGTGACAGAGATTAAATGAAAAATGTATTACAGAGAAACTGAGAAAGGTGGTAATGAAAAATAGTCTTGAGGAAACATCTAGTGACATATACTAAAACCGTAAAAATACAAAAACAAAATTAAAAACAAAACTTAACTGCCTTAGAAAACAGTCCAACTTATTACATGCCTTTGAAATGAGAAGTGCTATCTGTTTAAGTAAAGAGATTCATTATATTTACCCTAGCATCCTCTGGGGTCTTGAAGTTAATTATTTTTCCAAACTCCTTGGCATGAAACACAGACTTCACCCGCTCCTATAAAGAGAGTAACTTCATTAAAATGAAAATCCAGTTGTAGAAATAGGATTTAAAAAATGCCACAGTTCTGTAAATCTGTGTTTAAAGTGACCACCTTACCCAAATCATATACCTTTAAAAAAGCCAAGAATGAAGAACCAAGAAGACTCAAACACAAATGGGAAAAAAAAAAAAAAAAAAAAGACTAAATTCTACCATATCCATTATAATTAAGCTTACGTTAAAAAGCTTTGAGATTTCAATTGCCAAAGCCATACAGGGTTTATCCAAAGGATGAGGAGGTAAATCAGAGCAGTGTTCTCCCCTCCAGATAGTTCTTGGTATCTGGCCATGAAATCAAGATTTCAGTTAAAAGGTAATATACACAGGTGTGTTGTATAGGGGGTTGTGTATGTATGTAATTTCTGACATTTTAAATCTGTCATGTAGTAAGAATGGAACTTAAGCTTATTGCACTCTACTATTTTTTTTTATTGTCCTCCAATTTTTATACTTCTCTGATATTCTATTCAGTGTTTGTGGGGAGAGCTAATGGTGGACAGTAAGCCTGAGAGGGTAAACAGAAGTAACAGGATTAAAGAGTAGGGTGATGTTTATCTCTATTAACTATGGGCAGAGCTACAGGGGAAGCAATGTGAGGGTCTCTTGGTCAAATAATGTCTCTAAATAATTCAAACATCCATGTAAACACAGACTCTAGAAGACAACAGATTCTTTTACTTAAAAAAAAAATTGCTGATTAAAGATTTCAAGAAAAGGTAGAAGGGAAAGAAACCAAGACGGTAAGAAGAAATTTATCTTTGGAGAGAGAAAAAGATATGAAAAAAGCCAGGCAAGCGTACAGGCAGAAAGTCGTAGTCATAGTTATAGTCATTATTCATTATTTTGCACAAGACCATAGGGCCTTTCATTTTCTGAGTGATTGAATCAGAGAAATTCCCAATGTATAAGCTGGTCTAAGATCCTCAAGAACAAAGAGCCAGTCTACTCAGGAGCTGCCTGTGTCTTTGGAGTGAGTGGTAAGAGTAGAGACATGATCTTCAATGGTTAAACACAAGGCCCTGGGGCAGTTATGTACTACGGGCTAGCCCAGAAAATGTCTGTTTCTGCCTGCCTGTGTCTAATGACCCTTCTTCAAGCAACAACTTTTGAATCTCCTTTGGGTAATATTTCTCACCTTCTATCACTCTAAATACTTCAGATAGAGCTGACCCTTCCTTCTCGGAAACACCATGGTGATCCCATGACCCTCACCTGGCCAGCTGGCTCATACCAGCTCTCTGACCAAAGTGACTGGCTCAGGATAGGCATGTGACCAAAGGTGGCCCAATGAGACCCAGTGAGAAGCTTTCATGCTGCTGAGCTAGTAGGATATAAACCTGGAACATCTGCTGGCCGGCTTGACAATGAAGCCGACACTGAGGAAAGTAGAACCTAGAAGTGGGAGTGGCAAAGGAGAGAATGAAGGAGGAGAGGAAGGGAGAGAGAGTAACTGCTAGCGGCATCACTGGAGCATATCTAAACTAGCAGATACAGACTTAAGACTTTCAGTTACAGGAGCCAATTAAATCCCTCAAAATCAAAATAAAACAAAAACAACAAAGAACAAAACTTACTTGGGCTGTATCATTTACAGTATTTCCTACTACTATAGCCAGTGCCAAAGTGCCCCTACGCAAAGGTATCTGGTCAAATACCTTGAGGCCAAGTATCTTGTACTTCTTCGTATCGCTTAAAACACTTCGTGGAATCTTTAAGACTTATAATGGACACTGAGTCTCTGCTGATTTGCCAAATGACTAGCAATTCATTATATCTACATTCAAGTACCAGGCACCATGTTACTAATCAATGCAGAGTGAGAAATGGTCTTTGCCCTCAAGATTAGAATGGAATTGGGAAGTTAATACCTATAAAAAGAAAAAGAAGTACCAATAACTGTCTGTTAGAGAGAGGCAACTTTTCAAGAGTCTGTTTTTAAGATTTTCAAGGAAAAACATTTTGTATGGAACCACCAGGGATTTTGAGGTATACAAATGATTTTCTCATTTTTGTGTCTTGGACAGCAGTGAGAAGTTGGGATTCTAGAAAATGAAGGCCCAGGAACATTATTGTCAATGCAAAAGCACATAGAGTCTGGTATTTTTTCTTGGCCTAGCTTGCTTTTCTTTAAGCCTGAAAAAGACAGGAGGTGTAAAGGAAAACCACAGTAGGACAAAACAATATCTATAAAATAGATGGGAAGTAAAGAGGACCGTTTCAGTGCGTTATTTTCAGTGCCAAGTTTTCAAAAAAAAAAAAAATCTATTCAACATACCTTTGCTTCAATGCGTAATCTTCTCCCATGAACAATGAATGGCTCTTTGGTAAACTCATCAAAACTATACTGCCACTCACAGGTAAGCTGTCCAAATGTTCCTTTTGTTACAAACAATACACCACTGGGGAAAAACAAAAAAGAATCCGCTGTAGAATAAAGGCACTTACGTAGCAAGATATACATTCATTGCAAGTACCCATAAAATATTAACCAAGAGACACTATATTCTGAGTCATAAAAAACCTTGAGGAATATAAAAGAACTGAAATCATACAAAGTATATGCTCAGATCATAATGAAATTAAATGAGAAACCAGTAACAGAAAGAATATTTCTAAATGCTTGGAAATTAGCATACTACTATATAATGCATGCATCAAATAATCTCAGAAGAAATCAGATAGTATCTTGAAGTGAATGAGAATGAAAATACAACACAACATAGCAAAATCTGTGCGATGTAGTTAAAACAATGCTTAGTGGGAAATTTATAGCACAACATATTTATGTTAGAAAAAAACAAATGAACCAAGAGAGACTGTGGACTCGGAGAAACAGAGGGTTTTGGAGGGGAGGAGGGTGGGGGGTTGGGAGGGCCTGGTAGGGGGTATTAAGGAGGCTCGTATTGCACGGAGCACTGGGTGTGGTGCATAAATGATGAATCTTGGAACACTGAAAAAATAAAATGAAATTAAAAAAATGTACTTCTAGAGTCAAATATGTAAGACACTTTATACACAATGGAAAAACTTTGCAGAACCTATTATTAGCTAATATCTTGGAGAACTTTCAAGTAATTAATGCTTTAGAATGTTTCCAAGGCTCCATGCAATAAGTTTATCAACCTACCTCAAAAAAACCTTTTAAAATTGTTTTCCCACCTTGAGAGGAAAAAAATGCATTCTGTCTATAATAATTTTATTTAATCCTTCCTTCAAAGGCCTTTACTTTTCCAGCTCTTCTTTCTGGTTGAAACATCAATTCTAGGTACAACCAGATTTTTTTTTTTTTTTTTTTTTTAAGAAATACATACTTTAAGTTAAGGGATTGCGTTACAGAGCCGGCTCCTGGCAGGAACAAGCTAATTAGGACTTACATCTCTCACTTCAACCTTCTGTCTCAGGCCTCTCTTTCACCAATCCTGGATTACAGGGACTGTTTGAACAAACCTATGGGTCCTCCCACATATCTTCAAGCATGTGAAAAATCTAAGATAGGCTAATCTTGTAGCCCGCACCTAGCACTCTGCCCCCCACCCCACCCCCAATTCAAAGACCCTTTAATCCTCAAATCTGAAACTTGGAAAGAAAAGAAATGCTAAGTATGAATACTACCTTTTAGTCAACTACAACTCACTCACTTCCCTCACTTCATCATCAAGGTTTATAGAACTTCTTTTAAAGAGGTCTACTGTGTTGAGAAGGTCAGTTTTCAAATGCTGCAAACTAAATTGTAAACTATTAAATTTTGCAACTGGTTCTTGTTCAACTGTGATGAATCACACTTCATGTCGTCAATGGGAGAGAGGGTTAATAGAAACATGAATGAAAATCGCTATGAACAAACACGGCTGCTGAAGCTCTGCCCCTAATTATAAAAGCTTATTAACAACTTAGATGTAAAATACAGTACATACTTCTAAGTGAATGCTAAGTAGTCCTTTAAAATTGAGGAAGATGTTCATATGCTGCTATCAACATTGATCTAAAGCAAAAAATTAAAGCAAAGTACAGAATGGTACATTGACAGATTTCCATTTATGTTAAGATATACATGTGTGATGCTTGTATATGCAGAGACTATTTCAAGAAGGAAACAAGTGGTTGCCTCTGGGACAGGGAAAAGAGGGACTGGTACCTGGGATGGAATGAAGACTCACTTTACCTATTCATCTTCTAATGCTGTGTGAATTTTTTACTCTCTGTTACTTTTTAAATAAGAAAATTAGATAGTGTTGTAAATTTTAGACTTAGAAATGATTAGCATGAAAAACATTAGAAATGACTGCTAAGGGGCGCCTGGCTGGCTCAGTGGGTTAAAGCCTCTGCCTTCGGCTCAGGTCATGATCCCAGACTCCTCGGATCCCAGACTTCTGGGATCGAGCCTCAGCAGGGAGCCTGCTTCCCCCTCTCTCTCTGCCTACTTGTGATCTCTGTCAAATAAATAAAATAAAATCTTAAAAAAAAAAAAAAATGACTGCTAGTTCAACAGTGAGCTTGAGCTAACAAGATGTTAATATAACTTCTCCTTTTCGATAGTGAACAAAACCACACAGGCTTATTGACTACTCCTTTCTATTCAGCCATAACCTCTGTCTCTCAGGCACAATTTCGCTCTTTGCTATCCATCCAGAAATCCCCATTTTAATCCTGCACCAGCTCATTTTTTTCCTCAGTTTAACAATGACTTGCAAACACTAGCCCCCCTGAGGCCGTGTATTTTTGCACGTAGCTCTACTGTCTACAGTCTACTCGAGGATTTGGCTATCATTGGGAGTATCCATGTAAGAACTGATCTGTCTCCAATGGTGTACGTACTTACGTGAGTTTCTACGCATGCTAATGAAAAGATATCACCAGAGGACTTCTGGGGTAATCTGAAATTATGTACTTTTTCAGAGGGGAAGAAATGGTAGTGTGAAGATAGTTTTACGGGAATTTCTGTATTATTCAAATTAGTTGAAAAAATATTAAATTGTTTGTGCATGGCTGTGCATTTATCTGTACAAAGCTAAATATGAATTTATGGAAGGTTTTTGCTACAAGGCTTGTAGAGCAAGAGGACCAGAGTTAGCAGGAATCAGTGTGACTATCTGTAACAAATGACAAATGTCAACTGCTTCTCTTCATGAGTGGCTTCTCAGTTAACCTCTCAACAAATTACATTCCAGAAAGAAAGTACCTTTTAGTTATCATTAGCATATCTGTTTTATTGATCATGACATGGGTAAAATACTTATATTTTGCAAATCTTCCATTTTCCATGACCTAAAAAAAGGTGAGAGAGAATTTCATTATTATTTCTATTCTAATGCAAGTAATGCACTGTGATCCTCTAGAAGCCATTTCTCAGTGGGGGACAAATTATTAACATTTTTATACAGTAAATATATCATAAAACTGAGTATTCACAAAATTATTGCTTCCTTTTTAAAAGCACCTTTTTGCACTGCTTTACTCAAGATGACTCAATTGCAGCTACTTCAATCGTTAATGCTGGATTTTTAGAAGATATTGTTATTACCTACAAAGTTTAAATTGAAGCTATTAAAGTTACTATTAAATTAGCATATTCATTTTTTCCAGGATAAAAGGTACAAAAACACATGCCAACACATATTTATATGTATGTATCACATAATTTAGTATTAGCCCCATCTTGCATCTTCCCTGGAAATTTTCCTATCTGCCTTACAAACATGCTTTTCTTTGCCAATCTCATAACTCATTCAAAAACTAGGAGCAGAGTGGGGCGCCTGGGTGGCTCAGTGGGTTAAAGACTCTGCCTTCGGCTCAGGTCATGATCCCAGGGTCCTGGGATTGAGCCCTGCATTGGGCTCTCTGCTTGACAGGGAGCCTGCTTCTTCCTCTCTCTCTGCCTGCCTCTCTGTCTACTTGTGATCTCTGTCAAATAAATAAATAAAATCTTAAAAAAAAAAAAAAAGGAGCAGAGTGTTTCTGGACAAACCTGGAACCCGAGGACCTAATTACCTTATGCAACAGCCTTTATTTTCAAGACTGCTGAAAGACACTGTCTATCCATGACATTGTCAACAATTCCTTTCCCCCAATACTATACATAATATAAACAAAATACAATTACCATTTTTAGTTCTGCACTAAATACTATTTGCTCTGAGGATGGAGTTACTTTGGCTAAAAATATATAGTATGCTAGACTACTATCTTTTAAAGGCAAACAATGTAATTGTGACTAAGATCCCTCAACAGGAAGTAAGTTAAGAATTTAGCGAAAATGTTAAAGCTCCTGAAAAAATTCCAAAAGAGATATAAAGATTTTAGAAAACTGTGTTCCATGAGGCTATATGCAAAAACAAAATTATTTAGCTTAGAAGAAGCTAACAAGTAACTTCATAATAATCTTAGTAGAAAAAGCTACCAGAGTAATTTTCATTTTATTGGAGACAAAGTTAAAAAAAAAAAAAAAAAAGCAGTGACTACAACAATAGGATGAGGCATACAGATTCACTGCATGGAAGACTTTTCTAACTTCAAAGATAATAATACTCAAAAAAGAGTATTTTTACTATTTGCTGTAGGAGGTAAGACAAGTAAACACAAATTCCTTGAGTTACAAACAAAAAAGGGATATAAGCACAGATTCAAAAGAAATTAATAAGTTATTAGATAATAAATTATGCAAATAAATTTGAAAAATTAGGTGATGTGGGCCGTGTTTTAAGAAAATATAAATTATGAAGAGAAAGAAGTATCAAAATTGCAGAGGAAAAGTAGAATTTTTGCAGATGATAGTATTGTTTAGAAAACCTAAGTACATAAGCCCAGCAACTTTATCTTATAAACACAATATCAAATTGAGAAATGGAAGGAAAAAATTGTTTAAAGAGTAATAAAAAAGATAAACATTTATGCCTAAGTTTAACAAATAACATGCAGAATTTATGTCATAAAAGCCGTAACACTATTGAGGGGAAAAATGGAAAATTTAAAAATGGCAATCTCTACCATATTGCTAGATAGAAAAACTCATTAACAATGTCACTCCCTTCCCCAGCCCCAGTTTTTACACCCCCCCATATGGTCCCAAGATGGTTGTGTTAGTTTGTTCTGGGGGCAAGAGATGGAAATATTTCGACAAAATTATACTAAAACTTATCTAGAAAAAAAGGCGATAATATCCAAAAAAACGTATAAGATGAATGCAAAGAGAACTATCCCGGCAGACAGGAACACAATCTACAAGCTACAGCAGTGGAACAGTTTGGTGCTACTAGAAGTTATAAAGAGAGATATGTCAACGCAACAGTACAGATTCCAGAAACTGACCCAAATGCATACTAGGATTTGTAAAATCCTATATATCCAAAAACAGGAATATATAAAATCAAGGTTGCATTTTAAATTAGTGGGGAAAAGCTTGTTTTAATAAATGGCGTTTCAGGCAACTTGTTAGCAATACCTGGGTCTCTACTTCTCTCTATACCACATTAATTCCACATGGATCATTGATTTAAGCATACAAAATGAAACTATAGAATTACTAGAAAAAGTAACATTTTAATAATATTAAATGAGAAAGCCTTAAATATAAAATGCAAAGCCCATACCACAATGTAAAAAAATTGTTACATACATGGAAATTAAACACTATATAGTAGTAGAACAGTAAGCAAATAATCAGATATAAGGTAAGTAACAACATAAAAATCAAAGAATTGGGAAAAAATCTGTCAATACAGAGATAAGGAGTTAATTTCATAACACAGAGAAATATGAATAAATCAACAGAAGAAAACTGAGTAAACCAATAGGAAAATGTGTCACAAGCTTATGAACAGGTAGTTCAGCACAGCACAAAATCTGACCAATAAACACATGAGAAAATGTTCAACTTAATTCAAAATCAAGAAAATGCAAATCAACTAAAAGTACTCATTAAGTCAAGAATTCGACTGCTTTTATTTTATGCAAAAGTACGCCAAGATATACACACAGAAGTCTTCACAGTAATACTATGTTAAATTAAAAATATCTAAACTGTTTAAATAAAGTATAGCTTAGCCATACAATGGGACATTATATGGTCATGAAAAGAAAGGGCGATGTGCAGTCTGATATCAAAGATGTGCAGACATATTCAGTGAAAAGAAATTAAACTACTGGGAATTAATGGTGGAGGACTAGAAACACATTCGTGTATACTTATATATCCATGGGAAATTTCTGGGGGGGTTGGTGGTAACACACTAATCTAATAGAGCTTATCCCTGGGCTTGAAAATGATAATAGTGGGGGCAGAAGTGAAGTTTCATTTTCAAATTTACAACTTTTTCTTTCAGTTATTTTTTTGTATTTGTAAAGAAATTAACTTAAAGCTTATTTTCTTTTGTTCTACATAACCAAGCCAAAAAACATCAAGAGTACAAATGCTGATCTCCCCAAGAACATCACTACCACCAGAAGTCAAGGGTCCACATGCCCCATTAATAGACCACAATCTTCAAACAGCTCAAAAGTTATGGTTTAGGGCAGCTGGGTGGCTCAGTGGGTTAAGCCGCTGCCTTCAGCTCAGGTCATGATCTCAGGGTCCTGGGATCGAGCCCCGCATAGGGCTCTCTGCTCAGCAGGGAGCCTGCTTCCTCCTCTCTCTCTGCCTGCCTCTCTGCCTGCTTGTGATCTCTCTCTGTCAAATAAATAAATAAAATCTTAAAAAAAAAAAGTTATGGTTTACCTCCAAATACCTAGCTTCTATTTCAATATTGTTTTAAATATGGGCATTACAGAGGACCCTGCTTCTCATCACCTTCCACTTTTCAGATACAACTTAAATAAAACCTAACCTCTGCATATAAGCAATTAAACCAATGTCAATAGTCACAGTAGTACCGATAGAAACAAGAGCTAAAAATCTTAGGAAAAAAAAGTCATTCAAGCATGTTTTTTGGAGTTCACCAAAAACCTTAAATGCAGCACTTGAAAGATGACTAGACATTATGGTCGTAGTCATCTACTTTGAAACATACAATGAACTATATTGTTATCAGAATGGATAGATTTGAATAAATGTTAAAGATAACTCCCTATACAGCAAAATTTTGCCGGTCTCCATTACAAACAGGTACAGAGGGAATAAGAATAGTGCTGTAAGCAGAAGCTAAAACTCTGTAACTAAGTCCCAAGGAAAAATGGGAGCAAATGAGAGACAATCTGACAATTTATCAACCATCATCTGCCATCATGCTGTAAAGTCTACAAATGTCATGCTTTTGACTGCAATTTCCTAATTATTTGTCTTTATAAGTGCCCTATATTGAAAATTTATATTTTTCAAAACATCATTATAAATTATCTAAGGAAAAAACCCCAGATTTTAGACCTGTAGGAAAGTTACTGTCTGTGTAAGCATGCACTGCTAGCACGTGAAGCAGTGGAGGACCAGGTTAAGTGTCTTACCCACCCGATCCTCACAGCAACCCTGGTAATTAGGTAACAGCTGAGTGTCTTGCTCGGGGTCATACTGATACATATGATCAGAAAAGTGGTTTCTTCAACTTCTAGTTCCAGTGCTTTTCACTATACCATGATGTTTCCTCCTATGAGGTCAGTCACTCGTTTCCCACGGGACCTCAAAAATATCTTCAGTATCCCTGGATGCCGGATGCTGCTGAGGCAGGCTGCTCAAAACCACAGGAGGGATGATTTTTGTTTAAGTTAACAGGGTCCATATAGTTCAATGTTAATATCCTATCTTCCTCCCTCCAAAACAGATATTCGGTATCAATGTGTCTCTTGAAGTAATTTGTGATACCCTTCAAAATAAATGAAGCACTAGCAAAACCGGGGCTAGAAATCACTATGTAGGGCCTTTGCACAAAGACCAAAATTTGGCTGAAATATCAAATAATCAGGCTGAAGCATCAAGTACATTAGCTAGTATGTTAGACATGTTAGCCTCATTTAACATGAGTGAGTGGTTAAATAAAAAACAATTTTTTCCTTATTCATTAAATTATACAGGAATTACTTATCACTGAGGACTTTCTTAGAGAAGCACAAACTGTTACAGATAATTTGCAGAACTTGCAGACAACAATCAAAATGCATGGTTATTGGTAAAAGGGTTCCTTTTGCATTAGAAAAGATGAATATACAGGTCTTAGTTTATTAGATACACATAAATCCAAACAGAAGTGACCGCAAACTCAGAAACACAAGAAGCAAGAACTTGGAAGACAGTGGAGTGAGGGTTACCCTCTACTAACAGCGACATTTCCTATCAGATCAGT